TGATTTATTGCACAATTTAGTCTGTTGGCATTAATATAATAAATATTAGGGTTTGCTGTCTGAGCAATTAAAATTTGATATAACATTAACATTTAATAATGAAAACTATGTTTGCCTGCAGAAAATGTGAGTGTAGGTCTTTTGGGATGTTCAAAGCAATTCTCTGTTAAGTGTTTGAAGAGAAAGTTAGTGTTTAACTGTCATGGGTTTTTAGCAATTTCCAGGTCATATGAATTCGTCGCAGTCTTTTCTAACAGGCTGGAACTAATGTATAACACTGATGGAGGGCAAATTAAGGTTTCCCATGATATATGTTAAAAGAAATCTTGAATTATTTTTTAATTGCTTTGCAATTTTAGTGTGTAGGGCAGGGAGAAAGATATAGGTGACTTTTTTCTTTTGAAATTATTAATTTCATGTGTGATATGAGGTAATGACACTTGAAGATAATGACTTTTCAGAACCATATCTTAAAAATCAAGATCATTTCTCATAAATAACATTTTTACATGTTCACGCACAACCTCTCCATGGGCATGAACTTTATCTGTTTCTTTGACATAATGCTTAACTTTTAAGACTAAATATACTATTCCCCATCCAGTCCATTCTTCTTACTACATTATTTTTAGCACCAAGATGTGTGTGTGTGTGTGTGTGTGTGTGTGTGTATGTGTGTGTGTGTAGAGATGAAAACAATTCTGAGGTGTTGTTTTTCTGCTTCCATTATGTGAGTTCCAGGGACCGAATTCAGGTCATCAAGCTTGCACTATTAAGTTCTCTGTATCTGCTGAGCTACCTCATTGTTTACTTCTGCTTTATTAATCCCCAAATTTAATCCTTTAAACTAATGTTAAAACAATCATACACACAAACTATTTATTTTATCTGGAAGCGAAATAATTGATGACTTGTTCTAGGATGCAAATTTTATGTTTGGTGTTAGGAAATGAGTCACAGTTTGAACTACATGAGAAATGACCCTAAGCACAAATTGTAAGAACTATGCCCCAATCCACATCTTACTTCACGATCCCCACACTTCTGATGCACACAATCTGTATAGCACACAGGGAAATCTTAACTAATCACATGAACTCCATGGCTGCTAAAAAGCAGTTCCTGCAGTTTAATGGTTCATGGCAAGTCAAGCTCTTTGTTTACAGTCGGAGACATAGAGAGCTTGGATAATGGAGGAAACAGGGACAGAGGAGGATACAGAATGGGAAAAGGCAGCAAAAGCCTGGGACTCAAGATCAGCTCTTATATTCAAATCACCTTGTAGCTACGTCACTCTTTCCTGGTGACATCAAGTATGGTATTTCCTCTATAACTTCCATTTGTACCATATAAACAACAAAGGTGTTAGAGGAATGACAGCTAAAGACTTTCTAGACCACGATTTCAAGAACTTCAGGAATTCCTTTAATTCTAACGGTGACACTTTATCTTTACCTTTGAGAGAATAAGATTTCCTAACCCCTTTTAGATATAGGGTTTAATTCATGCTTCAAAGCATACACTTGGATTTTATATTATTTGATTCTAGAAAAAGTATTCTTAGAAACAGAGTATCTTTGTTCTGAGTTGGCAGGTGAAGAAAGTGAGGCTCAGAGTCTGACACTCATCAATTAACACTTTGACACCTCAACACTCAATGAGAACATGTCCTCAAACTGTTCCTTTAAGAACTTTTATGTTGGGTAATGTAATAATTTATGTGTTAATAGAGAAGATGTCAATGCACAAAGAAATTCACTTGGGGTTCCTATTGCTGTTAAGAAATACCATGACCCTCTCTGAGGAGCAGATGGGAGATGGGGTGAGGGAAAGTTGGTGGGACTGGGAGGAGAGAAGGGAGGGGGAATTGGGATTGGTATGTAAACAATAAAGTACTGTACAATATAAAAAGAAATACCATGACTAAAAAGCAAGTTGTAGTGATATTTCATTTGTATTTTAATAAATAAAGCTTGCCTGAAGATCAGAACACAAAACAGCCACACTAGCCAGCCATACAGACCAAGCAGTGGTGGCACACACACCTTTAATCCCAGAAGACACACTAGCCAGCCATACAGGCCAGGCAGTGGTGGCACATACCTTTAATCCCAGCAGCCACACTAGTTAGCCACAGAGGCTGGGTTGTGATGGTGCGTGCCTTTAATCCCAGCATGAGAGAGGAATATAAGGCAGAATGAGACAGAAACTTGCTCTTTGTCAGTCTGAAGATTTCATAAAATAACTCTCTAGTGCCTTGGCTGATTTGCTTTTTTCATCTTCAGGTTGAACCCCAATATCTGTCTCTGTGTTTTTATTATTCATGCTACATAAGCTATAGAGGGAAGGGTTTATTTGGCTACACTTTGACATCACTATTTGTCATCAAAGGAAATCAGGACAGGAACTCAAACGGGGCAGGAACCTGGAGGCAGGAGCTGATGCAGAGGCCTTGGAAGGGTGCTGCTTACTGGCTCACTCCTTGTGACTTGCTCAGCCTGCTTTCTTATAGAATTAAGGACCACCAGCTTAGGGCTGACACCATCCACAATGGGCTGGGCCCTTCTCCATCAAACACTAATTAAGAAAATACTTGAGAAGGAACTGGTGCCTGAGGGCCAGGACCTAGAGGCGGGACAGAACCAAACATAACTGGCAAAAAAGTCAATGAAATGATTCTAAATTATGCAAATTATATTTTTGCTATACCTATAGATTGGTGCCTAGCTCAACTGTCATAAGAGAGCCTTCATCCAGCAACTGATGGAAACAGATGCAGAGACCCACAGCCAAACATTAGGTGGAGCTTGGGGAATCCTTGGGAAGACGGGGAGAAAGGAGTGTAATAGCCAGAGGGGTCAAGGGCACCACAAGAAAACTCACAGAATCAACTAACTTGGGCTCATAGGGGCTCACAGAGACTGAACTGACAACCAGGGAGACGGCACGGAACTGACCTAGGCCCTCTGCATATATGTGACAGTTGTATAGTGTGGCCTTTCTATGGGACTACTAACAGTGTGGGCAGTGGTAACTTTTTTTTTTTTTTTTTGCTGGGGTTTGGAACCCTATTTCTCATACTGGGTTGCCTCGTCCAGTGTTAATAGGAGAGGAGGTACCTAGTCTCACTGCAACTTGGTATACCATGACTGGCTGACAGCCATGGGAAGTCTGCCCTTTTCTAATGAGAAATAGAGTGGGTGGGGGTGGGGTAAGGGGAAGTGAGGGAAGGAGAGGAGGGGAAACTGCTGTTGGGGTGTAAAAAGAAGAGGAGGAGGGGAGGAAGACTAGGAAGAGGAGGAAACTGTACTCAGTCATAAGGAGGCATTTTCTTAATGAACAACAACAAGAAGAAGATTCCTAATGATATTCTCCTACACTCACAGATTGGTGCCTAGCCCAGTTGTCATCAGAGGCTTCCTCTGTCAACTGATGGAAACAGATAGAGACCCACAGCCAAATATTAGAATGGCGTTTGGGGAACTGTGTGGACAAAGAGGAAGGAATGTAGGAGCCAGATGGTTCAAGGATATCAGGGGAACACAACCCATAGAATCAACTGAGCATGGCTCACAAGGGACTCACAGACTGAATTAGCACACATGGAGCCTGCATGTATCTGCACTAGGCTTTCTGCATATATGCTATGGGTGTTGAATTTTTTGTTGGACTCCTTACAGTGGGAATGGAGGTATCTCTGACTCTTCTGCCTTGGTCTTGTTTGGTTCTACCCTAGTCCTTGGAGCCACCCCTACCCCCAGCTTCTGGATCCTGGCCATCCATCCAGGCTGTGTCAGGCATGGGCTCCCTCTGGTGGCTTGGGCCTCAAGTTAGACAAGTCATTGGTTGGCCACCCCCACAAGCTCTGAATCACCATTGCCCCAGTGCATCTTGTTTAAGGAAAACCTAAACATATTCTGGGAAGGCATATACTTGGTAATATTGTGAACATATGTTATAAATTTCACTGTCCCCTGGCATCTCCCTTTCTACTATCTCTCTCTCTCTCTCTCTCTCTCTCTCTCTCTCTCTCTCTCTCTCTCTCTCTCTCTCTCACACACACACACACACACACACACACACAATAAAACAATGAAGCTGGACTTATTGCTAAAGGTTCTACTCTCTGCAATGCAAAGAGGTAGAAAAGAAGTTTCTGGAGCAGAAACCTACTGGTCAGACCAGCACCTACTCGTCAGGGGTGAACATATAAAACATGTCGCTCTTGGGAATTATACTTTATGGGTGCAATTTTGATTGAGAATGTTGTTTTAAATTATTTTATATATTATAATCACATAATTTCTCCTTACTACCTCCAAACTCTCCCATATGCCCCTCCTTGCTCTCTTTCAAAGTCATGGCCTCTGTTTTTAATTAATTGTTGTTAACTAACAAAAGAATGCTAAGAACAGGAGTAATAGTCTTCCCCAGGAAAGAGCACACCAATTGGTTATCCAATACTAAATAGTCAGCCCTGAAAACATACATACAAGTGACATTATACAGACACAGCTTCTGGACTTACATATTTAGGAATGCACATACACACACACACTGTTCTTATGATTTTAGGAATTTATAGACACACATACATTGTGCTTGTGTTTTTAGGAATACATACACATATGTACTTGTATTTTTAGGAATCTCCACCTCCAACAGAGTTTTTAAGCCTCCTAACTGTAATGTGTAGCCAAACTTCAGAACAAATATTTTCAGCCCAGAGCCTAAAATCATGAGAACTTTTAAAGGTTAGCCAGTGTCCAACTTCCAGAAAATTTTGTAGCAATTGGTCTAGGGTGTAACTTCTACTTTTGTGATTTTTCATTAATTATTTATGAGACAAAGTCTTGCTATGTAGACTCTTTGACCTGGAACTCACTATGTTGTCCAGGCCAGCCTTGAACTCAGAGATACATCTGGCTCTGCCTCTGAAGTGCTGGGATTACTGGCCTCAAGTAATGTTACTGTTTCTTGTGATGGAAAATCATGATCTAGTCACAATAACTAAGATGCACTATATAGTTTACTACATAGTCTAAGTAACACTGGGAAATTTCTAGGAGGCATGTGGGCAAGGGAGTCATTATTCTCTGCAACAGACATAGTGAAAACCCACAGGTGAGTTGGACTTGGTCCTGTCATCTAGAAAAAGAATAATAATATCCTGCCCCACCTTTTTCTTCAGCTTAAAAAAAACCAGTCATATCACATGGCAAGCACACTCTCAGATAGTGTTAGAGAAATCTGAGTTTTGAATAGCTGAATAATAATTAGGATGGTGAAACAAATAAGCAAAAGAAATCCTTGTCATGCAAAAAATAGGATGAGTTAATATAAGTTCAAAAACATTTATTTACATTTATTCTGAGCGTACATGTTCAAGCATGTTCATGCACCACACGTGCAGAAGCCCACAGACATTAAGAGCAGCTTGGCTACTCAAGAGACTGGAGTTACAGAAGGTTTATGTGGGTGCTGAAAACCAAACCCACGTTCTCTGAAAGAGCTGCCAGCGCTCTTTACTGCTGAGCCATCTCTCCAGGTCCCATTAGGATTTTAAAAAGGGCCCGTTTTTCAGTTTATCTTGAAATTATTAGCAACTAGCCTCATTAATCCACAGGAAGCTGTTGAGATTGCTTCTGTTAGTCTGTCATATTTTTGGCTTTCTCCAAATAATTCATATGCTCCTTCCTGAGAATTAAACTCCACAGCAAACTCCCTCATTCTCAGTTACCTTTTCCATTTCCCATTCCTTCTTCTCCATATGGTACTCCTGAGAAATCAACGAACCAGGTAAAATAACCTAGTCCATAATGCTACCTAAAATGGTTCACAGGCAAGATGATGACTTTTAAGCATTAAGACAAATGAACAAATGAGAACTATCATTAACCTCTTTAGCCAATGGGTGAAAAGGTAACAGGATGTTCTGAACACTTGAGTATGTATGTTCAATCAAATGATAATCATCAAATGCTTATGACACACATCAGAAGAAAATAAAATTGGCAGGGAACTAAAACTGGAAGCAAATGCAAAAAAAATACTATTCTACTTTTCATGAAAGTGAGTCTGATATGTTACTTCTACATTTTTGAAGTCATCAAATTAGAAGCAAAATTATACTGGAGTCTCTGAGGTTATTGGTTTAGGAAAAAAGGTCTAGGAGGTGTGTTTTTATTACATTAATAAAAATGAATAAAAGAAAACCTTAGTGCTTACCAATGTATTTTTCCCTTTCAAAAGTGTATTTGTGTGTACATAAGTGGATGCATGCATGCAATGGGATGTGTGGAGGTCAGAGGACAGTTAGGAGCTGCATCTCTACGTCCACGGTGTGGGTCACAGGAACCGAAGTTATGGCATCAGGCTTGGCAGCAAGTGGCTATACCTATTAAACTATCTTACCTGCCTTACCAATATTTTCCAAATAATTTTTTGAGACATGGCCTCATAATGTATCTCTGCCTGGCCTGGAGTTCACTATGATGACCAGGTAGGCCTGGAACTCACAGCCTGGTCTCCTGAGTGCAGGGATTAAAGATATGTGCCACCATGCCTGGTATGTTTTATTTTAAAATAATGTGTATGTGTATGTAATGCATCTGTATATATGAGTGCAGGGGAACAAGAAAGGCCACTAGAGCTAGTTACAGGTGGCTGTGAGCTTACTGATGTAGCTGCTTGGACAGAACCCAGTAACTTGGGGTACTGTAACAGTAACAGTATACTTGTAACAGTAGTATGAGCTCTTCACTCCCCAGCCCCAATATCAATACTTTTAAAAGGCAAATCTGACATAGTTGCAACATAAAAGAATGAGCAGTTAGCTGTGAAGTTAAGTGGTAGTAAGAAATCTAAAACTTTTATTCCAGTTAAAAGAAAAGAAGCTACTTAATTCACACCAGTGGAAACCAAGTTTTTTATATCATAAATATTTTAGGCCATCAGAATCTCTTCTAAGGTTATCTACTGTGTTCCAATACAAACTTTGTCTTTATTTATTTTTTCATTTTAAGCATAAAGGAAATACAAACACTGAATTTATTTTGACTGAAATAAACTGACATCGGAACAAAGTTCAGAATTGCCAAAAAAAATGAGTGAGAAGTACCCTAAATATCCAAAATATTAAGCATGGTTGGTAGTAACTATATTTATGTAAATCTATATAATGAAGTGAACATATGTACATGTTTTTATTTTGATCCTTTAAACAAGGTCCTAAGAAAATACAATATATTTTAGTATGTATTCAAATACACTAAATTTATGAAGAAAAAGATATGTTCTGAAAGTTCTGCAATCACCACAGGAATTGGCTTTTAATTATATATATATTTCACCATTCACTTCTGTTCTTGCTTTTATTAGGAAATTCATATGTCATAGCTTATTTTAGATGATTGTTCTTACATAGTGAATTTTTCTGGCATTTTTTATATATTGAGTATGAAGCTTAATTATTGTATATTTTATATATTCCTAAAATATGAAATATATGTGCAGATATAAATAAGCATTTATGGAAAAAGTTTTCTGCTATTACTTTAAGAAATTATTATATAGTTAGTTTGCATTATGTAATGTGATAGATTATTTTTAAAAATGTGATATATATATTTGATTTGTAATAAAATTTAATCACTGTTTCTGAGCTTCCAAATAAAGATATAAAATACTAATAATACTGTAGTGATATATATATTACAGTTTTTATTGTTGGATTATTATTGTCTTATTAAAGAAATGTTTTATTCACCTAAGAAAGGACAAATCAATTACAAACAAAATGAAAATATATATTATGGCCACAATCATATAATCAAGCACTATAGAAGTTAAAAAGTCTAACAAAAATTATAAAGAGAAGTTCTTCAGCTGGTAACCAGTAAACATAATTTTCACTTACATACGCTCTTGTGCATAAGATAAGGCACGTATGAACAGTTGAGACCTTAGAGAAAAAGTATCTCTATGGTATCATTTTGAATATCTTTATGATTTATGAGGGAGACAACATTTTGCAGTGCTGGGGATGGAACACAGGGTCTCAATTCTTTAACTGACTTTCAAGATATACTAGAACTTTTTTTCATGGATTGGTCTTTCAGTAAATAAGAGAAGGCATATGTTGAACCCAGAGTAGTGCTATACTTGCTAACATATAATTTTGTTACTTTTCCACAGTTGTTACTGGAACATCAAAAAGTGCAAATAAGTGTTAAAGTGTTTATTTCTGCTTGGTAGAATATAAATATTCCTGAGGATATTACAAGTAGTACAGCAGGTGTTCAAAGGCATTCTCCTAAGGGCCTTGGTTTATCAGTCTGTACTATGTATAAGCCTGCCTTTGGTGGCCCTTAATTCTATCTTATTTTTCCAACTTCCACTAGGATGGAAGATGTTTGCATGACGGAATTGAACAAAACATCTTATCATATCTACTTCTACTCATTTTGTTGCTGTTGTTAAAGGTTATTGCCTTAAAAGAATGGCTCTGGGAAACAAATCATTAATCACATGGAAAACTGTGACATTAATACCATGTAAACTAACCTCTTTTTAAAATAAAACATAGCAATAATTGGGTATAAATAAATGAACTCTTAAATATGTTAAAGAATTTCATTTGAATGAGTGCCAGACGAAGTGTTTATCTACATTATTATCTCATCAATAAAACTTGGGAGTCGGATATTGGAGTAAAAGTCTGACTGATCAAAAATTGATGGAGAAGTGACCAGTGACTTCCCCTCTCTCTTTCCTCAATCCAAAAGGATCTTTGAATCTAAGCCTCTCCCTACTAATTCCTGTGTCTCTCCATATGTCCTCTGTCCTCCAAAAATCTCTATGGATAATTTGGTCAACTAGCAGCTAGATCTGCCCTCCAATTCAAGGTAAACGTTATTGTCAGTCCCAGGAGTGTAAAGAGTGTGATCAAAATATCCCACAACAACATATAATGCATCCCTGAACAGATTTGTGCTTTTTTTTCTCTAATTCGTCCTCCCTACAACAAGAATAACCTTTATTCAACAGCAGGTGCACTCTGGCAAAGGTCAAGATGCCTTGCTTCATTGGAAAACCTTGTTTGTTCTTCTCATCACAGATCCAGACTACATAACCTCTCCATTCTTCTTCACCCAGAGCATCAGCAGCGACATCTGTGGCCAAGTACTTCTCATAAAAAGTACAATGTTCGTGGTCACTGTCTACTTCCATGAGTTTCTGATAGCTGGCGGCTAAGGAGACATTCAACTTCACCTTGGCATAGCCAATCACCTAGGAATTTCCAGAAAAAAAAAGAGCTTCTCGGGGACTGTAACAATAATATGTTGCAAACAGGAAATTTAAAAAGGAACGTGCCTTCATTTCTTCAGATTCGTTTTGCAGAATTTTCCTAGTAATGTAACAAATTGTCAATGAAAAGGTCTTAAAACTTGAATGAATAGCCAGGTGGTGGTAGCACTTGGGAGGCAGAGGCAGGTGGATCTCTGTGAGTTCTAGGCTAGCCTGGTCTAAAGAGCTAGTTCCACAACAGGCTCCAAAAGCTATGGAAAAACCTTGTCTCAAAAAAANAAAAAAAAAAAAAAAAAAAAAAAAAAAAAAAACCAAAAAAAAAAAAACCAAAAAAAAAAGTTTAACCAATAGTCATCATTGGTGGATGATGACTTAAACTACTGGTGGATAAAACTGTAATAATTTAAACTTAACAGCTGACAAAAACAAAGTAAACATTAACAGTGTTTCTCCTTATTTGAAACTATGATCACCAGTTGGTGGTGCTGTTTGGAAAGGTTATGGTACAGGTCACTGTACAACTTCGCTGGAGGAATTACATCACCAGGGACAGGCATTGGGAGTGTATAGCCTAGTCCCACTTTCATTTTGCTGGGTGTGCTTCATGTTTGTCATGTAAGATGTGATCTCTCAGCTTCCTGCTCTTGCTTCTAAGCCTCCTCCTGCCTTGATGGACTCTTTCTTATCTCTCTGGAATGGTAAGCCAAAATAAACTCTATAAATTGCTGCTGGCCATGGTGCTTAATCACAGAACGGGAAAAGTAACTAATACAGAAATTGGAACTAGAGAGCACGCTGTTGTTGTACGCAGCACAGCTCGGAGGTTAAGCCATCTGAGTCTTTGAAAGTAAAGTCCCATGTAGCTGAGCCCTAATGTCTTCCTCAGGGGAGAGGGCGAGACGGCTCAATGTCAACAACACAGACTCAAGGAGTCTGGTGAAAGGGACACAGCAGACTTGTTTATTTAGCAATGGGGAGAACCTTATATACCCTCCTAGCACCCAGGCATTATGATCCATTGACAATGTAGGGCCGCCCCTCATTGGCCAGGCATGATCAGGACCTCTGACAGCACCAGACAGACTCCAGGTTGGCTCCTTTTAGCCTGGTAAGCCTTAACTTCCTATAGCTCTAGACATCAGACATGGAGCTACAGGTTTTGCTTGTTTGCCCTGCTAAGTTTCAGTCTTTCTGCAGTCCAGTACTTCCTCACTATGCTCTCATTCCTCCCCTTTAAAATGATCTTTATTTTGTGCCACTGAATGTTAGAAGTCTGCTAATTGCTTTTAGATTTATAGGTGGCTACAGTTAAGGGATTGCCTTGAGTCTCACAAGAGATGTTGGACTTTGAAATTTGAAATGGTGTTCATACTGAGAAAGACTATGGTCACCTTTAAAGTTGAAATAAACATATTTAACATTATGATATGGCCACAGGCCTATGGGAGCCAGGGAGAGGATTGTGGTGGTGTGAATGAGAAATCTTGTCCACAGGTCCATGCATCTGAATAGTTGTTTCTCAGTTAGTGGTGAGGTTTGGGGAAGTTATGCTAATTTGAGAATTTGCTGAACAAAATATGGCGCTGAGGTAGGTTTTGAGAGCTTATAGCCCTGTCCCATTTCCATTCTGTTTGCTCTTCTTTGTATTTATTTACCAGTGAAGATGTGACAGCTCAGCGTCCTGTTCCTGCTGCCATGCCTCCCCACTACGATGAACCTGCATCCCTCTGGAATCATAAAGTAAAATAACTCCTTGCTTCTGTAAGTCATTTTTGGGGGATGGTATTTTATCAAAGCAATAGAAAAATAACTAATGCACATAGTGAAAAACCCATGAATCATAGCAAATGAGCTGGGTGTGATAGCATACACCAAGAGACCACGACTGAAGGATCACTGAGTCTGAGACTACTCTGCATTACATATTCCCACGCTGACTTTAAAAACAACCCTACAACAAAACTAAACAAAATGGGCTGGGTATATGGCCCAAGAGTTAAGAGCACTGGCTATTCTGGAAGGGCTGGGTTCAGTTCCCAGCTTCCACATGTTGGCTCACAACTGTCTGTAACTCCAGTTCCAGGGGATTCAATGTCCTCTTCTGGCCTCTGTGGGCACCAGGTACACAAGTATTACAGTTATACATGCAGGCAAAACAATCACATACAAAATAAAAATAATTTTTAAAAGTCCTATAGAAAATGATACAGCCTATTTTGTGACACTTGGGGCTATGTAAACATATTAAATAAACATGCTTTCCTTATTTTTATTTTTACAAAATAACATTTCATCACAATGACTGAAAATTCCCTAAAAACAAAGCCTTTAATCTGACAAAATTAGTTAGTAGGTGCTAGATGTTTTCTCTACTATTTGAGGAAGACGTATAATATAAAGAAAATTAATGCTAGCTTTGTCAAAGACATCTTCAAAAATATGTCCCTTACACCTTTACACATTATATTCCGAATTATAAAATCTGCCAATGTGGAAATTCCCTGGAATTTCTTAATGAACTGCAAACTACACAAGACAAAATAAAGCATCATATATAAATAATGTTCAAACATTCTGGCATGTATAATGTTTTTCTCACTAGAGTGCAACTTTATATACAAACACAGAGGCTGTTTCAGACACACGTGGAGAAAACAGAAGCACCAGTTATTTAAGTTACACTTGATCACGAAGACGAGCAAGCCTCTGTGACAGTTCATCCTAGAGAAAGCCAAATTTACAAATCATCGAAGGCTGTAACAAATATGAACCATTAAAACGTGTAATCCCCTTAACATTTTAAATTTAAAAATCTTGTTTATAAAATTTATATAAACATTAGGCATTTAGTTTTCTTAAACAGCTAAAAAGAAACTTAAGAACTTAGAACAGCAACTATAAAGGTTATCAAAACAGTCTAAAAAATGAAATGTGCATGCAAACTGAAAACACCCACTATTACACAGCTACTGGCTGCTCAGGTTTTGTTCATTTTAATGATGTGTCATAGTAGAAAAATACTCTTTATAAAAAGTGAATATATATTTCCTTGTATACAAATATATACATATCTTATAAATCATAAATTTCCCAAATTTTTAATTTAAATATGAATAAGCATATTAATACAAAAATTCAACCTCTACCTGCTCCGTAGAAGCAACACTTGCACCAACAGAGCCTGTCTGCCCCTGTGGGAGCTCCATATTGAGATCAAGGCTAAAGATGAATTTACAAATAATCATATCAAATGAATGTTAATATAGACATTTTATAATAATCAAATAGGTACTGCAAATTTGGCTACTATATCCTTATATCACTTTAAATAAAAATTGTGTTTACATGTAAATAGAACTTGAATGTCTTCAGAACAACTTTGGATACTTTAATGATGATTTTAAAGTATTTTTCTCGAGTTCAAATAGTGATCCATAGAGGTGGTATAATATTGGAATAGAAAAGCTGACTAAAGACTGAGACATAATCTAATACACTAAACAAAAGAGCAAAATAATCATCATCTCTGTACTCTATTTTCTGGATATTATTTGTCTCCTTTACTGTGAAGACAAATTAATAAACTGTCAAAAAATTCAAAGATAAATGTAGCCTTAACACCCAGATTTAGTATTTTTGTTTTATTTCCATTTTAGTATTCAGTTCTTGAATTCTTTTAGTAGGAACCAGGAATTTCTTTCTTCTTCTTTGAATTAAAATTTTTAAATATTTTTTTTTCATTTTATTTATTTTAGATTTAGTTTTTTATGCTTTAAATGTTAGGTATAACTTTTCACTTACTGAAAATAGATTTTCTCATACAATATACTTTGATTGTAGTTTCCCCATGGTCCACTCCTCCCAGTTCCCCTGCCCTTTCCACCTCCCCTCTCCTCTGCATTCCTTCCTTTTCTGTCTCTCATTAGAAAAGAATAGGCTTCCAACAGAAGAAAAAGAGCCCTAAGAGAAGGTGCAAAGATCAGAGCTCATTCACACACCCAGGAGTCCCATAAAGACACTTAGCTGAGAGCTATAGTATATACACAGAGGACGTGTTAGAGACCTGTGTAGGCTGTGTCATTGCTGTTTCAGTCTCTGTGAGGTTATACAGGCCCTGGTCAGTTGATTCAGAGGTCCCTGAGGAACCAAGGATTTCAACCAACTACACAGCTAAGGTTTAAAAAATTTAATGCAGCTCCCCAAGTTCACATCACCCCAGTGAAAAAAGATTTGTTTGTTTACTGCTACAGGAAGGTTTTAAAGACAAAATTTTCAATCCATAGTAGTGCTTAGTAGTACTATGCTCCAGTCCCGGACCTCACATATATTAGGCAAAAACACTTAGCCACACTCTAACGTTGTTTCATCAAATTTTAGATGCTCTATTAAATCAAGATTATTCAAAAGCACTAGACCTTACCCAGCTTCATCTGCCATTTCCTGAAGCAGCATATCCACTTGGTTCTGAAATAAAAAAAAAAATGAATTCATATTATTGTCTTATTACCTTTTGGGTGGATTTTGGGTGTGTGTAGTTTGGTTTTGGAAACTGATCTACAATTTTTAAAATAGGGGCTACAGAGATGGCTCAGCAGTTCAGTTTCTAGTATCCATGTCCAGAGGCTCATGTCTGCCTTTAATTCCCAAACACGGGGGGTGGGGGAACATGGTATAATACCTCTGTCTTCCACAGACACACGTATTCACTGGTACACAACTACCAACATTATTAAAGGGAAAATTAACAAATCTTTTGGAAAAAAAGCCCAACTCACTGTTCTGCAAAACTTTTAAAACAAACCTTTGAAAAATACTTTCCTGCCACAAGAGGGCGCTGAACCATCTCAGAGAGCCACATTCTGAACTTTAAGCATTTTAACTTAAGTTGTCTGAACAATACTGGCAGATAGATTCATATATAATTCACATCTGAGTAATATAACACTCTAAGGGAGTGATCAAACTTAGAAATCCCAATAATAATCCATTTTAGTTATGTGCAATAGATTTAAATTTAGCTTAGATTTATTATTCTGCAAAACCACAAATAAGACATTAAAATGACTTTTCAGCTAAACAAGAAGGTGAACCCAAGAAAAAACATATAGTTATCCTCTTGGCTAAGGGAAGTAGACAAAATTGCCGGGGAGAAAATTGAGACCTTGGGGTGGGGTGGGTTGGGGATAAGGGGGGACGGGGAGAGAAGTGAGAAGGGGGGGATTGGGGGATCTTGGGGAAACAGGAAGATTGGGATAAAGGAAGGTTGGATAGGGGAGCAGGGAAGCACATATCTTAGTTAAGGGAGCCACCTTAGTGTTGGCAAGAGACTGGAACCTAGAGTGGCTTCCAGGAGCCCAAGGCGATGTCCCCAGTTAGTCCCTTGGGAAGCTGAGGATAGGGAACCTGAAATGACCCTATCTTATAGCAATACTGCCGAATATCTTTCATATCACCATAGAACCTTCATCTGGTGATGGATGGAGATAGAGACAGAGACCCACACTGGAGCACTGGACTGAGCTCCCAAGGTCCCAATGAGGAGCAGATGGAGGGAGAACACGAGCAAGGATGTCAGGACCACGGGGGGTGCACCCACCCACTGAGACAGTGGGGCTGATCTATTGGGAGCTCATCAAGGCCAGCTGGACTGTGACTGAAAAAGCATGGGATAAAACCGGACTCTCTGATCATGGCGAACAATTAGGACTGATGAGAAGCCAAGGTCAATGGCATGGGGTTTTGATCCTACTTCATGTTCTGGCTTGGTGGGAGCCTAGCCAGTTTGGATGTTCACCTTCCTAGACATGGACGGAGGGGGGAGGACCTTGGACTTTCCACAGGGCAGGGAACCTTGACTGCTCTTTGGATTGGAAAGGGAGGGGGAGAGGAGTGGGTGGAGGGGGAGAAGAGTGGGGGGAGGGGAAGGGAAATGGGAGGCTGGGAGGAGGTGGAAACTTTTTTTTTCCTATTCTCAAAAAAAAAGACCTTTCAGAAAGAAATACCAGTAGACAAAATATACCTAAAGTCTGTACCTGTGGCACAGAACCCTATGAGGGTTCAATTAATTAATTGTAGAACAAAAGCATTCTGAGTAGAAACTGACTTTTCACCTTGTTATCATTCCTACAACCCAGAAAGCTGTTTACTTAGAACTTACATTGTGCTAGACATTACATGTAATCAAGAGGTGATTTAAATAATATGAGATCTACATATGCTACATATAGACAACAGAACCACAAACAGGGAAACTGAGCATCATTGGGTTTTGATGTCTAATAGAGATAGTGGAGCTAATCACATACGGATTTCTGGTTATTTTGTTGTTGCTGCTGTTGCTTTCGTGTGATGGGGATTTCACTATGTAACTTAGCGTGGTCTGTAATTCCTGAAACTTGAAGCTCACTGGTTTCCAGCTTCCAAGCACTGGCCTTACGAGTACACACCATCAAAGCAGTCCTATTGTAAAACATTTACTGCGGTTGAGGAGTTCTCAAGAAATACAGTATGCTTAATCAGAAACCTCTTCTCATTTTAACATAGTTATTAAAAATATTTTGAACATGCAAGAAAAAAATTCTAAAATGTGGTCACAGTTTAAAGCAAAAGATAAATATTCCTGTTGGGACTTTCCTTTCTCTTGTTCTTTCAACTACTTCAGAAATGTTTCCAAATATAGAAAAGTTTCAAAAAATAATTAAAAAACAAGCTCTGTCTTTTAAAAACTCCATATGTAAAGTATTACTGTATCCTGAAATTTAAATATTATATTGTATTATTCTACAGCTTACCTTCCTTAATCTTGTAAGATTTAAATTTTTGCTATCTATATATTTAGTTCATTCAATATAACTCTTTGCTAGACACCTGCAAAATCTAAATACATTAAATTTAGCAAATATACTCAATTTCTGGACATTTACTTTTTTATTAATTTCTATCACAGGCAATGGTTAAATATTCATGTGTGTGTGTGTGTGTGTGTGTGTGCATATCTTTGTTCACATGCCAGGAAATTCTTGGTGCATGAACTTGAAGGCAGAACTCCTGGATTATAGGGTATGTATATTTCCATTTACCCAGCTATTGAAGGGAGCAGGCAAAGGACCTTGATCTGAGTACTGCCATTTTACTTCAAATTACATTTTACCTGCAGGGTGAAGTTCAGGTTCCCAAGCCCTAGGGGAGCTAAGAACTTTCCAATGCTGATCCACCTCTTCCCTAAACCACAGAAATCATAATTATGCATATTTAATTCTTTAAGGCTGTTCCTAACACAAAAGGAACAAATGAATCTGATTGGTTTAATTTAAAGACTTGCATGGTATATTGGTTGACAATGATGGGACTCAAGGAAGCCCCTTGTCTCTAATTCCAGATTGGTGGAAATTGTAACCATAGCCTGGCACCAAATGTTTGTGATTTTTGTGCTTATAAACCCTATTTTTGCCCAAGCTTGGGGCTGTCAGGAGAAACAAAGCTCCTGAGTCCTTATCCTGCAGCCCTGATTGATCAGTGACCCACTTATGTGGTGATTCAATAAAATCTTTGGATCCCATAGGTGTTGTCTCTCTCCTTCCTCAAGACACCTAACAGGCTAGGTGTAACACTCTGTCCAAGAAGTTAACACCTGCTCATATTATTGTATACACTAATAAGCTGTTGATGAGAAACACATTAGGTCTAGGAGAGGGTAGGGAGGATATAAAAGAAGAAAAACATTTGTGTTGCCTATGTAAATGTGTAACTATGCTTTGTGAGGACACATGGGGGGACATGTGTAGTTGCATACAAGTGAGAGGGCAGAGGAGGCCATCAGGTGCCCTGTGGTATGTCTCTCCACCTTCTTCACTGGACACAGGGCTGCTCATCAAACCTGGACTTAGACTGGAGGTCAGTAATCCCCAGGCATCTTTCCTGACTCTGTCTACTGCAACACTGGGGTTACACAATGCTTTCGCCATATCTAACTATTTACACTGGTTCAGGAGACTTGAACTTTAGTCCTCATGCTTGTATAACAGGTGCTTTTACCTACAGAGCTATCTCCCTAGGTCCAGGGAAACTTAAAAAAAACATTGCTGGATGATTTATTTGTAATGCTATAAATATTATATTTAAAATAGCTAAAAAAGATGGAGAAAGATTTTACATAGAGGAGGAGGCATAGGCATTGTATAGCAATCCTCATCAAAATTGTAATAGCTACATTCATAGAACCAGGCAAAGAATCCTGAAATCTATATGAATATGCAAACCAAGGCATATAGTCAAAGAAGTGAGACATAAAAGATCAAAGCTGGAAGGATAATAGTATCTTCCAAGACATACATCTGAAATCTAGTAACTAAAGTAGCATTAAGGTATTGGCCAAAAAGAAAGACACCAAGACCAATGGAACTGAATAGGCATATAGAAATAAACTTAAGCAATTGGTGCAGGACAATTCTATATTCTGTCAATTATATTTTAAATAAATGCTGATTGATCGGTAGACAGGCAGGAAGTATAGGCGGGAAAACCAGACAGGAAATAGAGGTGGGGCAATGAGAACAGGAGTATTCTGGGAAGAAGGAAGCTCTTTGAGCAGTCCTGGCCCATCCACTGAAGAAGCAAGATGTAACCTGCCCTGATGAGAAAGGTACCGAGCCATGTGGCTAACATAGATAAGAATAATAGGTTAATATAAGTGACAAGAGCTAATACAAAGCCTGAGCTAATGGGCCAATCAGCTTATGATTAATGTAGACTTCTGTGTATTTTCTTTGGGATTTATTGGCTGTAGCAACTGGGCAGGACAGAAACTCCAATAAGCAGAACCTCGTCTTATAAGCAACTACTACATTAAAAATATTTTTTGACAAAGGCACTGGAATTATACACTGGAAAAATATCAGTCAGTCACTTCAAAACATGATGCTAAGAAAGCTGCATTTAAAATACAGAAACTTGACCTTCTTTCATGCTATATGAAAGTCAACTCAAAATGGGAAAAATATAAATATAAGACATGAAGCTGTGAGAGTATTTGAAAACACAGGAGAAATACTTTCCATCATACTGAAAATATCTATACAGGAAACAACTGGCAGAGAGAAGAAACAGGAGACTAGGAGAAAACATTTGTTAGATGCTTATCCATACTAGAATATACCAGGAGCTACAAAAAAACCTCACAACAAATAATCCTAAATAGACCAAATAAAATGGGCAATAGATCTAAATAGGCATACCTCAATAGAAGACATACAAATCTCCAATAGACATTTGAAAAATGCTCAATGTCACCAGCCAGGGTAAAACCAAACCAAAAGCAGAATGAGGTATCATCACAACCCAATAAGAATGGCTCATATCAAAAAAAGAATTCAAATGTTGTTGTGGTTGAAGAAATGGACGCCTTGAACAACTGTTAGTGAGAATATAAATTAGCACAGGTACTGTGAAAAACAGTAAGGAGGCCT